TTGTGTGATTCCTTTAGGTATGTGACTTAACCTAATGTCTGTGTAGAAGATGTGGTAAGCCCTGTCACTCCACAAACTGAGAGTAGAGAGTAGGGCAAAAAAGTATTTAGTCAGCCTACGATTGTGCAAGTTCTCCCACTTAAAATATTGACAGAGGTCTGTAATTTTCATCATAGGTACACTTCCACTGTGAGAGACAGAATGTGAAAAAAAAAATGTATTTGTAAATTATGGTGGAAAATAAGTATTTGGTCAATAACAAAAATTCAACTCAACACTTTGTAATATAACCTTTGTTGGCAATAGCAGAGGTCAAACGATTACTATAGGTCTTTACCAGGTTTGCACACACAGTAGCTGGTATTTTGGCCCATTCCTCCATGTAGATCTTCTCGAGAGCAATGATGTTTTGGGGCTGTCGCCGAGCAACACAGACTTTCAACTCCCTCCATTTTCAATGGGTTTGAGGTCTGCAGACTGACTAGGCCACTCCAGGACTTTCAAATGCTTCTTACGGAGCAACTCCTTCTTTGCCCGGGCGGTGTGTTTGGGATCATTGTCATGCTGGAAGACCCAGCCACGTTTCATCTTCAAAGCTGTCACTGATGGAAGGAGGTTTTGGCTCAAAATCTCACGATACATGGCCCCATTCATTCTTTCCTTTACACGGATCAGTCGTCCTGTCCCCTTAGCAGAAAAACAGCCCCAAAGCATGACGTTTCCACCCCCACGCTTCACAGTAGGTATGGTGTTCTTGGGATGCAACCCAGTATTCTTCTTCACCCAAACACGACGAGTTGAGTTTATACCAAACAGTTCTATATTGGTTTCATCTGACCACATGACATTCTCCCAATCCTCTGCTGTATCATCCATGTGCTCTCTGGCAAACTTCAGACGGGCCTGGACATGCACTGGCTTCAGCAGGGGGACACGTCTGGCACTGCAGGATTTGATTCCCTGTCGTCGTAGTGTGTTACTGATGGTAACCTTTGTTACTTTGGTCCCAGCTCTCTGCAGGTCATTCACCAGGTCCCCCTGTGTGGTTCTGGGATTTTTGATCACCGTTCTCATGATCATTTTGACCCCACGGGATGAGATCTTGCATGGAGCCCCAGATCGGGGGAGATTATCAGTGGTCTTGTATGTCTTCCATTTTCTGATAATTGCTCTCACAGTTGATTTGTTCACGCTTATTTTCCACCATAATTTACAAATAAATTCTTTTAAAATCCTACAATGTGAATTCCTGGATTTTTTTTCACATTCTGTCTCTCACAGTTGACAGACCTCTGTGCAAGTTCTCCCACTTAAAATAATGACAATCGGTGGCTGACTAAATACTTTTTTGCCCCACTGTATACAGGACCATGACCGTCAACCCCTGTAGGACACTGTATCAGCTCTGGAGAGCAGCTTCAGGGACAGACTAATTCACCCTTGATATAGGAAGGGGTGCTTCTGCAGGTCTTTCCTTCCTGTTGCTGTCAGACTGTACAACAAGAACTGATTAGCCAATACAGGTTTAAGTTTTCTGTACCGATAATTCACTGGTCACATTACCTGCTACCTATCTTCATATTCACTGCTGCTAAAGTGAAATATTTACTATGTGTAAATGTGAAACTGTTAAATACTGTATATACTGCACACATGTGCTTATCTTTGCACCAAGTGAAATTATAGCTCCAGAGATATTTTCTTTATTATTTTATTATCCACACCTGTTCGGTTGTTGTTGACTTTGTATGAAGGAGCTGATAAGAGGAAGACAGAAGTCAAGTATTGTGAAGAAATGCGTTGTGACGAGTTTTCTTAATAACTTAAGTTTGTTTAAATGATTGATATTGAGCACATTCTTTGATTCATCTTTTTTCTTTTTTCTGCCCACCCAGGTCTGGACCTGTGGCGGAAGCATTGAAGTCGTCCCTTGCTCGAAGATAGCCCACATAGAGAGGAACCACAAGCCCTACATGCCAGATCTCAGCATGGCCATGAAGAGGAACGCCCTGAGAGTGGCTGAAGTTTGGATGGATGAATACAAACACAACATCAACCTCATGTGGAACTTGCCGTTTGAGGTCAATGCAAACAACATACTCTTTTCAGAATGATCCATGTGTTTAATATGAGACTAGGTTATATTGCCTTGTTCTTGGTGTTTTTATTGGCCATCCATTCTTTACTCAGTGACCAATTAGCTCAATTTGCAGCTGCTTTGTGAAAAGATGAAAAGCACACACTGTGGGGACACGAATGATAAGGCCATTATCATATCCACAGACTACTAAGTATTTGCCTATTCTTTGGTATCCCTGCAGAATCATGGCATAGACATTGGGGACGTCAGTGAGCGCAAAAAGCTGAGGGAGGATCTGAAGTGCAAACCATTTAAGTGGTATCTGGAAAATGTCTATCCTCTACTGGACCCCTTGGACGACCTGGTTGCATACGGAGGTGTAAGTATTTTTTACCCATTATTTAAAAATTATTATATTTTTTGAAATTGTATTAAAAGAAAAGGGGTATGAACACAGACACAAGCATACAATGGTCCAGGACAACGCCAGCGCGGTGACGCAACACTGATTTCATATTTCAGATATATAATATTCCATCATGACGACAAACTCAGTGTTTTCGAGTGTGGGCAACTGGAGACTCTGTTCTGTGAGCGCATAAAAACAAATTAATCATTTAATTGATTGCCCTATCTCATCTGTTTGTATATTTGCAAAGGCTTACCATTTAACCTTTGCCAAGTAGTTTTTGAAAAGCCAAATATTAAAATAAAAACCATCCTTACATTTTAGTCTGCCACAATCCTTTATTGCATTGTGTGAAAAGTTCTCTCTTATTGGTAAATTAGTTTAGGGCAGAGGGGTATCAATTATATTCATTCTTGATATTGTCAGTAGATATTCTTGATTTTATTTTTGCATCTATTTTTTCCCAAATGTAAATTTTTTTAAAGATTCATTATATAACTTTTTTGGGTGACCAGTTTGTTTGTTTTTTCCCAGTTGAAGAACCTTGATACTGATATGTGTGTAGATCAAGGAGCTGTACCTGGTCACGTTCCAATTGCTTTTAATTGTTATTATTATGGACCCCAGGTAATTTGCATTGCATAATCATAAGATACAGCATTTTTTTCTAAATATATGTTCTTCACTTTAAGCGTGTTTATTACCGTACATCTGGCGAGCTCTATATTGGGGGCCTCAAGTCTCACAAGTACAATGATAATCGCTGCTTAACCGACCAGGGCAACAAGGAGACTGAACCAGGACTCTTCAACTGTAAAGAGGCCATGCAGAAGAAAATGAGCATTTTCTGGGATTTTTCTCAGGTACGTCTGGTAATAATGAAGGCAAGACGCTTACACCTACATTGTATGAGTCTGGTATGTGAACGAATGATTGGTGGTGGTTACTTCTGTCAGTTTGCCCCAGGGCATCTGTGGCTAGTTTATCACCACTGTGTATGGGGAGGAGACCCAGGACCCGCTGGAGGGACTATGTCTCTCAGCTGGACTGGGAAGGCCTCAGGATGGCATCCCCCTGAACAAGCTGGAGGAGGTGTGTGTGTGAATAGGGAGGTCTGTGCGTCCCTGCTGAGACTGCTGGAAGAAAATGGATGGATGGAAGGATGGATGTATGGAGTGAATGAATAATGTGTAGTGTCGAAAAAGCCAATTTAAAAAAACCAATGCATTATTATTCAATTATCGAGTACTTCATTTTTTATAGCATTGTTTTTATGTATTTTCCAGGGTAAAGAACTGAAGAACAGAGAAACGCAAAGATGTTTGGAAATTCACGATTCTAAACTTCTAATACAGGAATGCACTGGACAAAAGTGGGAAGTGCAAAATGTCATCAAAGCCTTTTAGAATGTTGATAATGTTGTTTTTTACCAGCTACAAACTAGGTTCAATGGGTTTGTGCAACGATGAAATAGAAAAAAATAAAGTATATTACTTACACCATTTCCAAGAACGCAAGCACAATTTCACTCATTATAAATGTATCAAAATTGGAATCTGTTTTGTAATGTTTTGCGTTTCAGGAATGTGGTCATGTATCAGTCCAATCTATGTATCTGTGGTGTGAAACCAACGGCATGAACATAGTGGAATAACTAGTTTAAGGTTACAATTTTCCTGTAATGATATGCCATGAAGCATTTGTGCAATTCAGTTGTTTTTTATCACAAATGGGAATATAATGTTTGTATAGTCTTTATTCAGAAGACTATACAGATCTGTCGCATGGCACTGAGAGATGGCGCCGTGGCAAGAGCTCAGGTGTACGATCTACTCTGTCCCGTGCACATTGGAGTAGTCTTGCACAGTTATTCCAATGTGATTTTATTGAAAACGTCGAAGCAACTGAATCTTGGGTATTAAACAGTTTAATAAAAAACATCAATTTCATTTTAAATTTTTCTTCTTATAAATGTATATTTATTTTATGCATTCTCATACTCAAAGGATGAATTGGCAAGTTTGTCTTGTGGATTCAAGTTTGTTCATACACAAGGCAACTCAAAGTGCTCAACAAAACAAACTCACACAAGGCATTAAAATCATATTGACTAAACGTTAAAAGAAGTGAAGATACAATCATTCAGTTGAATGCAAAGCTGAACAGAATTGTTTTAACCTTAGCAAACCCGATTAATAACAATGGTCATATTTACCAAGTGTGTAACTGTGCCTTATATTATTTTATTTATTTCATATTCCTCACATATTTGTCAATTCAATCATCTTATGTTTTTTTGTATTTTTTTTTGTTTTGTTTTTTAGCACAGTTGTGTTTGAATCCACCCACAGCCAGCTCTTACGTTTTTAAATTAGATTCTCGACAAAAATAAGTTTGACACCCCTGGTTTACAACGTGTCTGTGAATCAGCCGTAACCTAGCAACCGCTGTGTTTGTAGCATAGACTTCGGTGCCGTAGCTAGTTGTCGCTTGGAATTTCACCGTGAAAACATGTTCGGAGAACTGCTGCTGGACCGCGAGTCTGCTGCTAGAATACAAAATACACGAAGCAAAGAGGCTGAGAGGCGAGAGCGGATCTTTAAGCACAAAGAGAGGACCATAGGGGTGAGATGTGTGGGGAGGACCATAGTGGTGAGATGTGTGGGGAGGACCACAGTGGTGAGATGTGTGGGGAGGACCATAATGGTGAGATTAACGGCTTATTAACCGAGCACGAGGTCTGTATGGAGAAATGTCAGACCGCGGCCTTAATGTACAGACGGAGCCGTGGCGAGGTCTGTGCAAAAAAGGCCGCGGTCTGATATGTCTTGGACCGTACGCGCGCTCTGATTGGCTGATTACCGGTCTGATATTTTCCCATCTCGGACCGTTACCATGACAATTGGTCCGAATAGCGCGTATCACATTTGATATCTTTCCTCGGACCGTTACCATGACAATCTGTCATCACACAAAACCAAGTCGGACATGAACATACGTCTGTGTCTTTACCAATGCTTTTGAGATATTTGTGAAGTATGTACATGTCCGACTTGGTTTTGTGTGATACGCGCTGTTCGGACCAATTGTAATGGTAACGGTCCGAGATGGGAAAATATCAGACCGGTAATCAGCCAATCAGAGCGTCCATACGGTCCAAGTCATATAATAAATGTGGGGTACGGGTACAGCCTCTCACCGTTAGGTCTGACTTCGACTGTGCACAGGTGGACAAGCAAGCACTGGACATGCAGCTGAAAGAAAAGGAACTGAAAGAACAAGAAGAAAAAGAGCAACAACAAAAAAAGGGTGAGTAGCTTCTATAGAAATGTCTATTTTAGTTGTATTATATATTTATAAATAATAAGTAGCTAAACTAAAACTTCACTTATCACGTGACAGTCATATACTTTTGTGATCTGTCTCTGATGAGCGACCAGGAGCTGGTGTTTTAGTGGACTTCTATGGAAATTAAATGTGTTTTAATCTACCTTTTAGGCTTGTATGTTAAGCACATTGGGTTTCTTGTAGAGTATATTTTGACTCTTTGTACATACAATTGTAAACAAACACAGTTCCCTCCCCTCCATTCCTCATTGTGTTTCCGACTCACCCCCTCCCTGACCCCGCCCCCCCTCTGACAGCGGGGGGGCCGGCAGTCGGAGGTGCTCATCCCGTGAAAAAAATCCGTGGTTTATACAAAGCACAATGTGTCTATCCAACTGTCTGTGAAACTGTATGTTATTGCTCTCTGCTGTTTATTCTACTGTTTGTCGCATGGCGCCGTAAAGATGGCGCCGTGGCAAGAGCTCTGGTGTGTGTCGTCTTCTCTGTCTGGTGCACACCGGGGTAGTCTTGCACAGTTTTTCCAATGTGGTTTTACTGCAAATGGCAAATAAATGAATCTGAAACAACAAATGTAATCACATCATCCAGTAAAGTCCATCTAATCACATTGTTATACAGTATTCTTCCTGGATTGGTGCTGCTATCCAATACCAACATCTCATTGGTGCATCCCTAAATATATTGCTGTAACAAGCCGCATTTGAAAAAAACAATATAATACATGTAAGCCACAGTTGTGTTACATGTTGTAATGTAGCAGATAAATGCCTGTTTTATCTCAACATGATTCAATGACACGGAGTTAACCGTTAACCACAGATGCAGAGATGCTCCATAACAATCGTGTTGCCAACATGCTCGCCCATCGTCAACAAAAGCAGAAACATGAAACGGCCAAGAGCATTGACATCTTCAGGCAACAGCACCAGCAACCGCAAAGTCGGAGGGAGTTTGACCTGAACGACCCCCAGAGCCTTAAAACCCGGGGTCCAGCCGAGGCCCAGATGCTGATCCCTGGACTGATCGGTGAAGACCCCCACAGCAAGGAGCGACAGCAGAGACAGAGGGAGCAGCTCCGAGACTGGCTCGTACAGCAGCATGCCGAGCGCCAGAGACAACGGCACACACAGGAGATGGAAGGTGAGATCTTTAGATTGTATGTAGACCATTGTTTAAAAAAGATCATGGATACGGCTTGAAGAACTCAGTTGTTTTAATTTGTGTTTTCAGATCAGAACTATCAGCAGTTCGTGTTGGAGGTCAACAATATGGCTCTTGAAGTGGAAAAGCTTGAGATGGAAAATAGAAAAGCCATTGTCACTGAAACCAAGGATTTCAATCTTGCAATGGTAAGTTTATATTTACCATTCAAACATTTTAAAATTCATTCCTTTCTGTAATTTAACTTAAAATGGGAAACCAATAAATGCAACAGAATCATTTCATGCAAAGTGACATATAACCCTTTGTTATAATGTAATGCTGAATAAGGCCTACAGCCCTCTTTCAAAATATTCTTAATGTTTTATTTGGGTTTTTTACGAGCCGTGATCTGATTTTCACCAGTATAACAAAGGCTTATTATACATCACTCTGCATGTAATGAGTCTTCCATATACTAAACATTGTACGCTGAAACACTTTTAAGTAAATTAACTTTTATTTTCAGAGTTGCACCTGTATTTCATGTTGCAATTTCTGAATAACGTATCATTTGTCCATTCCCAAAGTCAGAAGAGAAAAGGCGGCAAGAATCTGAGAACAAGGACACAGGGATATTGGATTTCATAGACAGGGCCCCGACTGACGTGGACTCCCCACAAAGCATTATGGGAGCAGAGAGGCGAGAGATTGTGCAACTTAAAGAATTTCAACAGCAACAGATAGAAGAAATACAGGTAAATAAAACATTGATAATGATTTACTGAGCCTTCTGCCTACATTTACTGTAATGGCTGGACTATAAGACACTACTTTTTTCAAGTTACCTGCGGCTTATATAGCGGTCAATGAATGTGTTTTTACAGTTTTTCTCAGTCGCTTTGGTGCATTTCTCACATCAGACTTAAAGTTCTCGAAACCATTAGTTCAACCTCCAGAACATTGAGTCATTGGTGCACATCATCGCAGCAGTTTCTCCAATGAACAGATTACAAATGCTTTTGGACATTCTCATTCTTACAACAATTCTCTGCTGTTGTATAATGTTATCATTTGCTTCTGTCAGTGTTGTCAAAATGAAACATACTTATCACTTCTGAGTAGTGTGAGATTTCATAACACTTTGAAGCAACTTTTGTTATAGTTAAACTCATCATTCTATCAATGTGCAGAAGCCAGTACTTTTCCACTTCATGTTTTGTCTATCTGAAGGCCAAGCTACATGGCACCGTGGAAGCTGCTGATTGGAGGTCTCCATGCCTCCGCTCTGTATAATACACTTGCATTCTGTTGTTCGTGCTTTGTTCGTGCTGTCTCTACCATCGACAATGAAACATGTCTTCTGTCTGAATGAAAGACGCGATCCCAGACATGTCATCTTCTTCAGTAGTCTTTCCCTATAAAACCAATAGTCCTCTTTTCATCGCTTTGGTCATCACATACACAATTGTTGAAGTAGTTCAAAATAAAAATCTGTCAAGCTAATTTCATACATTCCTTTATTTTTTTTTCCTGTAAACCTTTTCTAAATTGAACAATTTCAGCTTTACTCATGACGAGGTGTGTGTTTTATTGTCACAGTTCTACCATAGTGATATTTTGTATGTTTGTTCTACGTAAAGGCTGTATTTTTGTTGCACAATGCTGTAGATGCAGTGATTATGTGAAATACATACAGTACACAGACATACAGTATACACACATAAAACATACAGTACATACATAGACACAAGTATGTGTGTTTATGTCTCTCAATACAGTCATGGGAATTTTACTGTTGTTTTGGGCTGTACAGTGTTTAGTGTTTTGCTTTTGACGAATAAACTTTTCATTTTGAGAAAGTGATGCACTTTTGCAGGTTATCCACGAGGTTTTGCAGTTTGCACTAATTGTTCTGAGAAATGCACAAACTGTTGTGCAAATATGAAGAGTGATGTGAAAAATGCACCAGAGCAACTGAAAAAAACGGAATTGTTGTAGAGGTGAACTGTTCTCCAAGCAGAGTTTACTTATTATTATGACTCCCAAGTTTTAGGAGTTAGAGGCCGCTTGTTTAGTGTCAAAATAGATAATAGTTTGAGTCCCGACGTGGAAGCCAGTTACCTCACTATGGACTCGCTCATCGTTCCTTGTGTGTAGACAAGTTTCAGCTTTCTTTTCAAATGTTGCTGGTGCGGTATATATCTTTACACAGGTCCAGCAAGTACTGTAAGCCAATAGAAAATGTGTGTATTTGCAGAGACGAAAAGAGCGCGAGGAAAGTGAAAAGCGCAGGTACGACCGCGTGCGCACAGACTCCGCTCGCACCGCAGAGCTCATCGAGAGGCAGCAGGCGAAACTCAACAAAGAGATGAGGAAACACCTGGACAGCAGCAACCTGGTGTTAGCTCAGAGCAGGAAGCAGCTGTAAGTGAGACGCATTTCAACTAAAGCATGACATACGTTTACACCGTCTTTTTGCTTTTTAAAGGAAACCAGATTTATCCAAAGGTGCCATCTCCGAGAGTTTCTTCTCCCAGTTCAACACGTGCAGTAGATAGTGAAAGATGGACTACAAAGATTTAAAATAAAAAAGAAATACACAACAAAAGACAGATTGACATTGTATTGAACTGGTGTTAAAACAAACGATTCTTTCCTATGAATTTGTACAGCTAAAAAGAAACGGCTAAAACACACAAAATAAACAAGAACTAAAATTATTATAGCAGACAGTGAAGCGTTAACCACATAAAAACATCCAGTGTCCATACCTTTTATTATAAACTTACCTAAAGTGCAGTTGTTGACAAACACGATTTGTCTTCACAGCTTTTAAAAATAGGTTTAGGTTTTAATATAAAAAATGTTTGTATGGCTTCACTTTCAAATATTCATTGACACACTTTTCAAAAATAGTGCAACAGAGAAATTGCATGTCCTTCAATGTTTTTTCATAAAACTTCTTAAGTATTCTCAGATATAAACTTGTCCCATTGTTTCTGCCACATGGCCAAAGCTTTCTCTTGTTGTGCTGCTGGTAATGAACTGTACCTGGAAGATGAAACATAAATAACATCAGTAAAAGGTCTGCACAACTGTTAGAAACTTAGATTTACCTTATAGAGTTGATGGCCAAAGATTTCAGGGTCCTCAAGTTAGATCTTAAGCCTCCAAACCCGACTAAAGCCTCATAGAAGTCGTAGGACAAACCGGAGGATCCGAACATGGCTGGATCGTCGGAGCTGATGACCAGAGGGTGGTCCTCTGCCATCAGGACAGCGCCTGGGTGGTTTCTTAAGTCATCGACCAACTTCGTAACCTAGGTAACGAGAGATACGGCTCACTTAATGTCATGGAAAAGCAACATGTGATACAACAAAAAGTCTGAAATCATTGTTTGTCTATATACAGAACATATGAAGGTAACCCCATGCAAATAATAATAAGAATTTATTAACAAAATGTTAGTTTTTCCAAGACTCTTTCTCTTGGGACAGACAACATTTATTATTTAAGAAAAAAAGCTAAGTAACCTTGCGTTGTCTGTTTTGTAAAACCCCACAACAGATAAAGGGTTGAAGGCTCTAACATTTCCCACTGATTCTGAGTTTTTGCAAGAATGATCCGAGGGGACAATCCACTGAGCGATTAACCATTTTGAAGAAAATGTATTGAATTGATTATGATAAGAATTGTCTTTGTGTGTTATTCAATCCACGAGGTAACATGACCAGAAACATCTGCATTTCTTGCTCTTTTATAACTGGCAATTATAATCCGTTTGATTAAATTGGATTGATCCTGCAGACCTGTTGGGTAGTTGATCATTTATATTAAAATAAGATTTGTTCTTCCATTGGAATAAGGGCATTACATGTGTGAAAGTGCAGAAATCATATTTTTAGGATTGAAAAGCACCTTTCTGATGCTGCTGCCATAAAAACCATTTCCCTTTTCTTTTAACATCTATGTTTCATTTCTTTATTTCACATCGCTCAGTAATGACATTTCAAAAACAGTATTCTCTGTACCTGGTTTGAGATGGGGCAGATTTCCACAGCAACTCCTCTTTTCCTGGAGAGCTCCTTGGCCACCGGGTGACGCAGCAAAGCAAAGCCATGTCCAATACGCGACGTGTTGAACAACAGAGCGTCCAGCAGGTTCTGGTCCACGTCTGAACCCTCCAAATCTGAACACAGCAAAAGAAAAATGTGAGCTATCTACTTTCACCAAATTAGAAGCTTTTTCAATCTCTGGTATATTTGGGTATGCACACATGACCAGAACCAGAGAATAGGACCAGACAATTGGGGGCTACACTGCAAAGATTGATGCAAGATAAGCAAAACCTTGAATTAGTCTTCACAAAACAAGACATTATTTTCTAGTGCTACTTTCCATCTGTAGCCCCTGGGCAGGTGAGTACACATAAAATACACGTTTCTTTACTTTCTTTCGTGATTATGACCAAAAAGGATAATTATGTACAGTAAGAACATTGTCCAACTTTATCAAAATGAAAATATTGTGCCATAACATTTTAGTGCGTCCTTAGATTCTTTACCCACATGGTCTAGTGTGGTGTGTGTCAAGATGAATCACAATCTAAATTATGCACACTGTCCACGTCTAATCCAATTCGACCCACATTCAGCCATCGTTACTGTACTGACCACAACTACAAAAGAGGCAAAATAGGAACTGAGGGACAATACTCACTAGTTCTGGTATAAATGTATTTATGAAAAAATACCTATCAAGTCTTACTCGTTTCTCCAGCATGGAAATAGAAGGGAAGAAGCAGCCCTCGGTCAGACGGCATAGACAGCTCATGGCGGAAGTACCACAGTGGTCTGCCCTGGTCTTCACGGCCCATCTGTCAACCACACGTCACAATCAGAGGCTGAAAGATACTAACTATACTATAATATAAGATACTATACAAATAATCAAGTCACTGAACAGGAAGTACTGACACACACACATGTTGAGTGGTAGTGGTGTTCGCCTTGAGTACATTTTGACTGATTGGAAAAAACATTTAGCCAATGGAACAAAACAAAAATGTATATGACAAGGAATAAGACAAGACATTTTCTGACAATTTCTAAAATACTAATATAGCTTGAAAAGGAAAACAGCAACCAGCATGTTCCATTGGCAAACAATCAAAATATCATATCAATATTTTATTTCACTAGGCCAAGCACAAAAAGCCAAGCATAAAAAATATGAATAACTGAGTACACTTGTTAGCGATTGCACATTTTTTGTATGTGTTCCTAAAAACTCACCAAATCAAAGCCTGCCACAAAATCTGGAAAGTCTCTCTTCAGCTTCATGGCCTCTTCTACAACTCGAGCCATCACGGTTGAGTTCACGTGCCTGAGAAGCCAGAGGATGGGCGTCATGGTGGCAGTCAGCACAGTGTGAAATGATAAATAAATAGATTTTCATAAAGAAAACAGAAGAGGGAGGGGTCACCGATGAAAGCTGAAAATCACTCTTGCGCCAAAGAAACCCGGATGATCGGCAGTGAAGCTTCTAGTCACTTCCTGGTAGGTTTTGAGACTCCAGGTGATGTCATGGGTGCTGCCGTCCAGCTCGTAAACCTAAATTGAGCATATTTCAATGATATACTATTAACATTCTGTGGTTTTGAAAAATGCTGTCACCATTTTCACACCATGTTCATCATCAAGCCTCTCAAGTGTTGAATTGGAGAGGGCTATTGTTATTCGTCGGTTTCATATTATTAGCCCGAGCCAATACGTAGAATTGGAGAGGGCTATTGTTATTCGTCGGTTTCATATTTTTCAGCCGAAGGGTTTTTATTTTTGACCCTGAAAAAGTTGTCACATGGGACAATGCAACCGGTTCGGCAAAAAATGTCATATAGTTTAGAACGTGTCCGACGCACTCTGTCTCTATATCGCCCCCTGGATTTTTCAAATTTGCAAAGCCTGTGAGAGCCAAACATGAATATTATTGAGTAGGCACCTGGAAATCAGAAGGGTGATGGATCTCTGAGATGAGCCTCAAACTCGTGGAGCCTCTCTCTGTGACCAACAGGAAGTCGGCCATGATGGTCTGATGTTTTCATTTTTGGATTCAAAATAGTCCCTGGTTTTTATCACACAGACTTCTACCACGTCATTTCCCAATCTGGACGGATTGGAGTTATATAATCCCTTGAAAAAAGTTTGAAATTCTTTCCGTTTTTGTCCCTCGCCATGGCAAATAACGCCTTCGTTTTGGGTGTTTCGGCTGAGCCCTCAAGGCCAATCTAATATTAGGTTATGGCCTGAACACAATGACACAAAAATCACCAAAAGCGCCACCTGTCACAAAGTGTCAATGTAATCTCTGAACCAAGAAGAGCAAAACATTATATAACGTAAAAGTTGTAAGTCCCACACCTGACCACTGGGGGCGCCCTGAAAGGTTTGAATGAGCTTTTTGAGCAAAATGTTTGTCCGATGAGGCTAGAAATGAAATCACAAATACAATGTATGACCCTGAACACAACAATGTGCAACACACAACTGTGAGTGTAACAGTGCCACCTACAGGCAGTTCAAGGTGTTGTGTTTTTTAATTCCATCTACTCCCAGGTTTTTAATCAGACTTCTACCATGTCATTTCTCCATCTGGACAGATTAAAGTCAGACAATTTTAGCAAAAAAACGACAGTGAAATTCTACTTTTTTTCTGCTTTCTTGGCCACAACCTTAGAGCTTCAGAACCGAAAGTCTAGAGCGCCACCTACGGGAGGCCTCGGACCTAAACATGTTCTGATCTGCACTAAAGTCGTAGGGTCCAATCTTTACATGCATACAAGCAAAATATTACAATTCGTAAAGGGTGCATGTCCATTAGTTGACTACTAGGGGCACACTGGATCCTTTAAATTAGCTTTTGGGACGCAAGAGGGGAGAGGACTTTCATCGCGGCTTGCTACTTTAATCCATGGATCTATTATAATAACTGGATAGGGTATTACTAGCTTTGAGCTGAAGAACTCATGTGCTCGGGGGATTCTCGCGGTACTGCAGACGAAACCAGACTAAATTCACGTGGGCTACACAGAAATTTTCCCCATAGAACTCAATGTAAACTAAAACAGCTCGACCTCAGCAGACAGAGAACCTACAGCTTTCATAAAGATCTGGTTTTGTGGGGATTTTAGTGTCCCTTGTCATCCTGAATTTTTTTTCTTCTTAAATATACACTTTAGTGTCACAAACTCTGCTCGTCTGGCTCCCGCTCTAACTCCCGCTCTGATCAGCAGCTCTGATTAATCAGAGCGCGGCCGAGCCCCTCTGTGCGCGTGCATGACAGCCACACACGCGTATTTCGCGCAACGCATTATGGGTGTTCATCCACTGCGCACAACCGGGAGGACCAGATGATGCCCAAATACAGGCGAGTTTCCCATGGTTCTTTGCGAGTTCCAGGCGAGTTCCGCAAATTAGTCAGCGACTGTGCCGGCACAAAGCGCCACTGAGCACAAACCATTCATTTGAATACGGCGCCATCTTGGATCGCCGGGGCTTGCTTTAATCTAGTTGATAGACTTACCATTATATATTATCTTTTATTGACTGTTACTAGAAAGGTCCCACAGAGATCTCTTTCAGGGTATTCCTGGAAAGGTGTTATGGGACACTAGTGTACATGTCTTTTGCGGTAGGGGTAACTGGAGCACCCAGAGGAAACCAATGCAGACTCCATGCAGTAAGCCCCCATCTAGAGGAGGAGCCAAACCCAGGCACAAGCACTAACCGCTGCACCACTGAGCCATTTTCTGTTCCGTTTTTTTTGCAAAAGTGGTATTAAGTACTTAAGGGGCAGTACCTCTGGGAGCACTGCCCGCAGCTCCAGGTACATGACGTTGTCGGCGTAAAACTCGCGGAGGCCTTGGTAATAGTAATCCCTGAAGACCGGAGCGAAGTTGACCAGGCCCCTCAGAGCCATGAACGCCTCTTCAAAACGCTCCCACACCACATCCTGCGTTGGGTAAAGTGTTTCTGGGTCCTGGTCGGTGAACACGGTCATGCTCCTCATTATTCTGACGACGAGGATAAAACACAAAAACACATTCAAGTCCATGGAATAAAAGGTTAAAGAGTGTCTAAGATGCTTCATAGGAGGCTTTACCACCACAATATTATTGTTTCACAGACTATAATAGCAGTCATATTCTGTCTGCTTTATACACTCAATGACCACTTTATTAAGTACACCTATCCAACTCCACTTTAGTGCAAATTCCTGAATCAGCAAAGACAGCAACTCAATGCATCTAGGCATGTAGACATGGTCAAGACGAGCATCAGACCGAGCATCAGAATGAGGAAGAAAGGTGATTTAAGTGACTTTGAATGTGGCATGGTTGTTGGTGCCAGACGGACTGGTCTGAGTATTTCAGAAACTTCTGATCCACTGAGATTTTCACACACAACCATCTCTAGGGTTTACAGAAAAAGAAAAAATATCCAGTGAGCGGCAGTTCTGTGGCCAAAAATGCCTTGTTGATGCCAGAGGTCAGAGGAGAATGGCCAGACTGGTTCGAGCTGATAGAAAGGCAACAGTAACTCAAATAACCACTTGTCACAACCAAGGTCTGCAGAAGAGAATCTCTGAACGCACAACACGTCAAACCTTGAAGCAGATGGGCTACAGCAGCAGAAGACCACACCGGGTGCCACTCCTATCAGCTAAAAACTGGAAACTGAGGCTAAAATTTGCACAGGCTCACCGAAATTGGACAATAGAAGATTGTAAAAAGTCTCGATTTCTGCTGCGACATTCGGATGGTAGGGTCAGAATTTGGAGTCAGCATCATTAAGCATGGATCCATCTGGCCTTGTATCAACGGTCAGGGATGTGGTGGAACAGGGGATTCGCATCATGGATGTGCAGCCGACAAATCTGCAGAAACTGCATGTTGCTATCAAATATAAACCAAACTCTCTGTGGAACGAGTACCTTGTTGAATCTATGCCACAAAGGATTAAGACAGCTATGAAGGCGAAAGGGGGTCCAACCCGATACTAGCAAGGTGTACCTAACAAAGTGGCCGGTGAGTGTGTAACAAGGGTTAGGGTTGTCAAAAGCATCTTTTTTTGATTCATTTTTAATAAAAAAAGTATCAAAACTATATACCAATTCTAAATTGATGGTGAACTATGCTAAAATGACTTGTATAAAACCTAGTGGTGTCATTTAAAAGTATTATTTTTGAGTTTGTTCATAATAGCTAGTGGATCATTTAATTTTTTTTGGGAATATCTCAGAATTCCATTGGTTTGACGGCTCTGGGAGTACCATTCATTTCATAATTCAAGAGTCCTAGTGCTAAACATGCTCAGATAATTATATAGTGATGAATTTGAATATTAAAAAACAGATCAATATAAATTTATTCAAACAATCCATGTCATCTCCCATATTCACTGATCTTTCGGGATCTAAACTACGAATCGATTAACCGTGAAAATAATCGTTCATTACAACCCTATAGGACCAATAAATACACTGTTTTTTTACCTGTCATCAAGCTCTGTCACATTTACGGTCGCATTCCTGAGTTTCTCCAGTAAAACCCACGGGGAGCATCGAGCCAGAGGTTGGGGGATTTGAGAGCAGAAGATGAATCGTAAGGACTGAGTGTCCGAGGAGCACATGTAGAGGTCGGGCCGATACGTCACATTCTTCACCAGCCACTCCACGGCCGTCATTGATAAGTCATGTACATGTAGAGCCGCGCCTACAATTACAAATACAACTGTATCATAAATCTAAAACGCTTCTCATGTCACAAATCTGAACTAAAAATTTTCCATTTGTTCAGTACTTCTCAAACTGTGATGTGTGTTTGTTCTGGTGGTTCATAGACTCAGTGTTATTGTTGGCATGCTTATTTTCATTTCAAATTTCTAAACAAAAGTCAGCAAGGAAAGGTTTTTTTTATACACAAATAATCAGAGTTAGCATGCGTTTTATTGCCCGTTTTAAATGATTACGATGATCAAATACCACTAGTTGACAAAGATAATCAATCGTAGTTGGAATAGTGTACAACCATAACAAGCCCAGATACTGTTGTATTGTGAAGCTGAGGCCTATTGGTTAGACCAGGGGTGCCCAAACCTTTTGCTTCCAAGGGAGTGGCAGTTCGCCAGCACAATCCTCTCAATGTGATAAAACATTAAATTGCTCAAAAAAATAATAGTAGGCTGAAAAAAAGAACATAAAGGTGCCTTGCACCCAATTGTTTTGAAAGATGTGTTTGATTTTAAAAAACATTTTAGTGCAAGTTGATGTGAACCATGAGTGAGGAGTGTATCTCAATACAACACTTAAGTACTGGACAGTCGCCGTTCAGAGGGCGTTGGTACGCCTGCGCGATCTCAGACATGTATGTGTGTTCTGCGAGGTTGAGGGACGCAGATAGAAACTTACAGCGGAGGTGGGCAATGTTTGGCGGGCCAACTGAAATGGTCCAGTGGGCCAACTTTGGCCCGCGGGCCCCATTTTGGCCACTTTGGGCACTCTTTCTCTCACAGACAGGTGCAGCTACTTTTATAATTTTATGCTTCATAATTTAAAAAGGGAACATGCTGTAGGTTTCACTTCCCCATAAGCACTAAGCAAACCTTTGGGCGCTTTCCGCAGCAGACTGAAGAGGGGGCTTTCCTTGATGAGCTCTCTGGCCTTGAAGAAGTGCATGGCAGGAGGGAAGTCAGGCCTCATCACCTCAGCCTGCTTCATCTGTAAGAACCGCGCGTTCAGAACCTTCTCCTTGTCGCTCATCACCAGCTGACCTCCCGTCTGCATGGAGGCCTCCATCTCCATCAGAGCCTCTCTGTGTTTGGGATCTGGCATGGACTCTCCTCCCCACAGGCAGCACAGGGCAATGCACAGAGCGGTCACTGGATGGCGCCCCACGGGGAGATCCATATCAGTTAGAGCTGCTAAACCGAGAAAACACGGTTATTTGCAAGGCTATCAAGTACTTCATTCATTTCTTACAATTACAACACTGTACATTTGATGTATTCATAGAAGTACACAACATGGAAAGCGCACACACACAGCTACATGGAGTACGAACACAACAGCTTTCCACAAAAACATTACATGACAATTATTTGAATAGTATGGAATAAAAACTGGCAACACGTTCACAAATATAGATACTGAAGAGAATGGTGTCTTACTGTGGAGCAGCTGTGGTCCAGTCTCGACAAAGCGATGTTTGTATTGTTCAGAGCGCGAGACAAGTGACACGCATGACGTCACCAGCTCGGACAAAAGTCACTTACTTTACTTACGAAAGAGTGGAGCCAGTGACGGATAATACACACATGTATATATATAGACGGCAGATGGATAAGGGGATTGTCCGATACTTGAAGCCTGTCCTTAGCAGTCTGGTCTGGACCATAGGGACCCAGTGTTCTGGAGCCGCCCCTGTGCTGTGATTGGTGAAGCCCCAATGTTGACTGTGCTGATTGGAGTTTAGAAGAGACCACAACAGTCAAACCCGCTCATCCAGACACACAAGAATCCAGAAGACAGACACACTTCCGAAAAGATATTTATTTCTAGGAAATATACAGTATTGATAAAAATATCCATCAGTCCTATACAAACCACTCACTATGAAGCGTGCTTGTATTTTGTCCAAGCAATGGAGGTATCAGACAACGAAAGGAAAGCATACTCAATTATATTAAAACAAAGAATGTACAAAATCAACTTAAAAGGAGAAAATAAATATGATTCACGTTTTTTTGTCTTACATTTCAATTTGTGCAGAATAAGTACAGCCAAAAAGAGCTGCATTGACTAATCATGTAATGTTGACCCTACACTCCGCTGTACACTACAGGCAGTGGCAACACCCCAACGTCACATGAAAACACATCTGTGACCAGAACAGTCCCACTTGCAGCCGTTTGTTAATGCCAGAGAAACACATTCTAATAATACACTGGACTGAAGACCTGTGTTATGTGATGAAACACTAGCAAAGATCTACAAATAAAAGAAACAAAATATTACATTGACACTGGCCAATAGAAACAACACAGCTGAATAATTTAAGAAAAGACTGCTACATTCACATTTAAGTCCGAACAGTAGCCTCCATGTGTCTGACAGACAGAAAAAGTGGATACTCACTGGCTCAATGAGGTAGATTTGTTTTGGATTACAGAACTATATTAAATTGCGAAAGGAAAAAAGGCAACGCTTGGCCTAACAGACTTTGTAAACATTGGGAACAATTTTACAATGGACAAAGGAATGTGAAATAAAGTCTAGATTACTTTTAATAAAACCTAACAAAATTTCACTGAAATCCAGTTACAGAATTTAGGGTACAAGTTTTGGAGAATTTGAATTCCTGCCAACAATTAATAAACATACCCGTATACGGCAATTACGCACCCTGAGAAGTTCAAAATGAAAAGAGGAAGCACTGTCATTTAAAGACATGAGATTCATTAGTATGTTTAAACATGTCACGATACACGTGTCGTGGATACACAAACAGAGCTTAGTACCAACTGAAGAGACTTTGAGACAGAGGAAAAACAAAAAGACACATGCAAATAAAACAATAAAAATCTGTGGTCAAAATAAAAAGGATATTTTTTGAATACTATCAAAGGCCACTTGTTTCCAGTATGTCTTGACAAATAGTGCATTTTATAGTGGTTTTGATTAATATTTGACAACAGTTTGATGCACAACAATATTTTCAGGATATATCCCACAGGTTTTATGTTCAACCTCACGAAGCTTCTACTTAATATTTATACATTCATTCAAGAAATAAAACAAGGCATTTCTAAAGCTGGCTAGATTTGTCAAATAGTACCTCTTTTTCAACCTGAGTTATTTATAAAGTGTGGACAATTGCAGTAATAAACAGTTATCTTCATTAAAGTACTCAAATGCGCTCACATTTTACAGACACAATGCCATTTTAAGTGACAACATAGCACACCATGTCAAAGACATGTCCAGTGTGGCTTAAGGCAGGGCCCTTATGGCACAGAGACCTTTCAAATACAATGAGCAATATTCCTGGAAATGCCCCATCACATTCTCACGACAACACGTTTGGCGTGGCAGCGAGTCCCATTCAGTGCATCCCCAGAAGAAAAAAAAAGTCATGGCTCATCAACATTTTCTATATTCATGTCCATAAGAGGCAAAGTCCAGTGTCGTTGCCCACTTTTCTCTCCAAAAATAGAGCCTACAAAACCATAACAGTTAAATTACAAGTGTTTGTACAATAACTTTATTTACAACTTTTTACAAGACACTTACTCCTTTTTTATGCTTGTTCACTGCTACAGCCTCCAGGCAGCATCATCTGTTGGCTGAACAAGAGACAACAAAAACAATCACTTAATTAGACAATATAAGATAAACTTCATACAAAACTGAAATGTTGCTTCAACTTCATCAACAAATAAAGACACAGCTTTTCAGATATGCTTATTGTAGGTCAGGGGTCTCCAAACCAGAAAAGGCAGTTGTGGTGAAGCTTTTGTATCAGACCAAGCAGGCGCACCAGACTCCACCCATTTCCTAAAATCTTCAGGTTAAGACTGAACTCAGTTGAGGTGGAGGGTCGAGTCTGCACTGCTCCTGCTTGGTCCAATAGAAAACCTGCAGCCCCTTTCTGGACTGGTTCGAAGACCCCTGTTATAGGTAATAACAAAGACGCTTTCATTTCATTCATGAAATTAAAGGCAATGTGTAACTGTTATTCAACTACACTAAATAACGATAAATATTGACACATGAATGCATCTTAAAAACATAATACAATAGTAACGTCATCTAATGAAGCATGTTACCTGGCTTGAACAAAGTGGTCTGGTGGCAGGCCTCGTTGGACCATCATGCCCTGGTAATGTGGGTGTGGAGCAGTGTAAAAACTCATGCGGTTCTGTCCGGGGGAGAAGGGCAGCTGCTGTGGCCGCTGCAGCGCCTCCATCAGGTGAGGGTGAGGTCTTTGAGCATAGGCTCCTGGATCAGGGTACGTCTGCCCGGGATAATGGGCTCTGGTCCCCATTCCCTGTGACATCATGTGCTGTGGTACATGCATGGAGCGATGGTTGTACATGAAGCCAGCCCCCATGTGAGCTGCAGGGTGGTGCTGTCGGGAGAGAGGTGGCGCACGTTGTGAAGCTGCGTTGTGGCTGTCCAGATCCAGGAGTTCTTTTGGGCTCTCAGGCTGCTCACATTTCTCTTCTGAAACACCCTGCTCTACAAGATTGCCTCTGCTACGATTCAGTTGGGATGGCACATCTTGGTCGTCTCCAACAGGACCAGGGGAAATCAGACTGGCTGCACTGGAGACGTCTGAGCCCATTGGAGACATGCTACTGGCCCTAATCTGACTGCTGCTTTTGGTGCTGGCTGCAGGGAGATAGGCATTAGCAGGTATTTGCTGTTGGGGCTGAGGGTGTGAACGGTGCCAGTCCTCTGGAGCATATCCACCTTTGCCATTGGCCTGGCCATGGCCCTGTGCAAGAGGGAACTGGTGTAGTGCACCAGGGTACATATTGGTCTGGGGTTGTGGCTGCCCAGGAAGTGAATGGTAGGGGTATGTTGTGCCCTGATAGTGGTAATTGGTATGTGGAGCTGAGTTGTGGTGGTGGTGAAAAGGCTGACTGTTGTAGGGGAGCTGGTGTCTATTTGCAGGACTAAATGAGGAGTTTCCCATGTTGTATGAACCCATTGGCCCATTCATGTGTCCTTGAGGATGATTAGAAGTCCTCTGAGCATTGGTTTCTATTAGCTGCCCTGGATGACTAGGGCTGAAAGCCTGCTGCTTGTGAGGACCATTGACAGGAGAAGACTCCACATCTCGCTCTGTGTGCGATTTTCTGCTGGGAGACCCGTGGCCAGCAGGGCAGGGCTGGAGAGGTGGTGCTGGGTGTCTGGGAAGCTGAGCAGAGAAAGAGGTAGGCTGACTGGGAGAGGCACAGTTCATGGGGCTGTTCTGTGCCATGGTCCTTGTGGGGGAACTGTGAGGAAACTGCGCATGTGGACTCATGTGCTCTGTATTCTGTGGGGATGTTCCCTGTGACTGCAGTTGTGCAAACTGATACTGATGTTTGTCTTGGTGATTTTGTGTCATACTAAAGTGTCTTTGCTGTGTTGGATGTGAAGGGTTTACAGATGATACATCGTGAGATACCGTGAGACTAGAGATTTTCTGGGGAGAAGTGTTGAGTAAAATATGTTCAGGAGGCTTGGAAAGCGAGTTCTGGGAGCTGCCATTGGGAGAGTTCAAGTTTGTTGAATTAATGATTGTTCCTCTTTGCTCTTCCCGTTTACAAGACGCTCCTGTTCTATCATCATTGACACATGCACCATGAGGACTGTGGAGACCAGAGGTGTTGGCTGGATGAACATGTGTGATAGCTGGGTTTTCCTCAAAAATAGTCTCCTTTTGGGCAAACACTTCATCACTACTATTGGGGGATATTGCCTTCTCTGGTCTTGAGCCTAAACAAAAACAAAGTATATTTAGTAAAACCATATGTTTAAAACTTGAATAAACTGTACAATGTAGGAATATATCCATAAGACCAATATAAGACTTGTATTAGAAGAATTGTCATACCCAGATATTGAAAATAATAAAACACTGTTTAAATGTTTTATTCTTTTTTTTCACCAAAACATTGGAATCTAAAAAAGATAATGTATAATGAAAACCAATCAAACTGAAATAACTATAATTCCGTTCTTCTGTGTATAGTGCTATGCGATTTTCTACCTTTTGAGCCCGACATACCCCTCAATAAGACAATAAGAAGCACCTTTGAGCTAATTCCAGATGCATTGTTAGAAAACAGTGCGAGTATAGTCGAGATGTTATTGTTAAAGGTGTGACGCACCTGTGGCTGGTGTGGTGGTCTGCTGGGATGGCTGACTGCCAGCTCCATTGTGTAAAGCAAGATGTGGCAGCTGAAGCTGGTGTTCAGGGGGGGCAGACTGCTCATTGCTGCCCATGTGTGGACGTTGGGCGGTAGAGGGTCCAGAGGAAGCCGACAGCTGCTGTAAGGCCAGCATTTCTGGGCTGTCCAGCATTGAGGCCAAAGCAGTTCTGCCAGACAACTCTAGACGGTGCCCAGGGAACCGAGAGGACACGGGCCCCGGGCTGCTGCCTGTAGCAGACATTTGATATTGGGCATTTGGGGGAGGGTACGGGTATCCAGCAGCTTCAGGCCAGGGTTTATGCCCAACGGGTGGGGGCATGCCACCATAGCTAAAGTTCCGCTGGTTCATTTCGCGAGGGTCCGGCATACGCACATCACCAGCAGTTTCCTGTTCACAGTGGTTGGTCCACATATGTGGTGGTCCGAGAGCAGGAGGCCTCATCCCAGGGTGGCTGTGCTGAGGGGGCAAGCTGTGGGTCTCCTGTGGATTGTGGGACGGATAGATGCTGGCTTCAGGGGGTGGACCAGGCTGAAGGCCCACAGGACGGGGCCCAAGCGATGGTCCGTGAGTGGGGCCCAGGTACGGGTGGTTTTGTCCTGGTTGCAGGGGAGCTGGATTAGGGCCCATTGGATACCTGGCTCCCATGTGGTGACCCATTGCCATACGATGCTGAAAACATATATATATATATATATATTTATTTATATAAAGTTTTTGTTTGCTTGTCCTTACTGAAGATGTTAAATCTAAAGCCAGGGGATGATCTGAAAGTGGGACATTTAGGACGTATATTGGCTTTAAACCTGTGGACCTTAGTCAATCTTTATTGACCAAATATGTATGTACGATAGTATATTTTAGTCTGCATACAGGGCATAACATGCAAATTCTACACAGAATGCCCTGTTGAGAATGAAATCCAAGACCTTCCAGCTTTGAAGAAACCGCTCTAACCACTGTGCCACTTATTGCTAGCATTTTTAAAAACACTTAGTTTTATCTATTGCAGAAAATAAAATAAAAAACCAAACCTTTTTACAAGGTTTCCATTGTAATATGTTCTATTACCTGCATGTTAAAGGTGTGAGGATTCATGTGGGGATCACCATTCCGTTGAATGTGATTGGAATAGTTGAAGTGAGAATTCATGGGCATTCTTTGACCAAACATTTGGGGACCATGGGGGCGTTGTAGCTGAAAAATATAACAGTTGATAGTTTTGCAGTTTTGGGGCAAATGCAACTCACAATTGTATGACTTACCTGTCCAGGATGATACATGGTCCTGATATCCCTGTGATGGCCCTGCTGGTGGTTTGGGGGTTGATTAAAAGGGGGTGTATTAGTCCACGGTGGTCGACTTAATTTATCACTTTCCTCTGTAGGTGTTGGACGTTTTCGTTGTGCCTGCTCCGTAGCCTTGATCAGACTTTCTGGACCTACAGTTCTATTTCCACGATTGCGCTTCTTGTCCTTTCGCTCCTTTTCATCTTTGTGAATCTGAAATTCTTCATCAGTGTCTCCATCTTCTGATGGAAAGTGTTTCAAAATAGCACGATTAAAGCATCGCTCAAGAGACTCTGCCATGATGGTGTATTCTGGAAACAAAGAACATTGTCATATTTTCAAAGCACTTAATGACTATCTTCAAATCCTAATATACATTAAAGACATAATTTCCAAAATGTATTAATGGTGGATTTAGGTAGTATAGCCTCTCATTCACAACCAGAAAAAAGGCATTTTATGAGAAAGTAGCCACGGGCACAGGCTGGCAGCCTCTCAAGACCTGGTCAGGGGGTAAAGCAGTAGTGACCCAAGCCATACCAAACCCAGGGCCTCCTGACTGCTCCTCCCCCATCCCATGGGAGCTCGTTCAGTTGGATAGATGGCCCCAGACAGCAGGCTTAGGCTGAGGCTGGAATGTCTCTGTGGCACTGCAGGGCTAAGATCCCCCTGAGCACTAGAGCACGGCTCAATCACTCTCCATTAATCACTGTCAAAGTGGCCCCAGCACATCGCACACTCCTGTATTTTCCTCCCAAACACTCAAGCTCTCTCACAAACCCATTGTGTATTAGCATAATGTTGATAATGCCTTTTTATTGTTGTCATTAACAACATTCTGAGTATGTGTCCATGAGTTTGCATTTACCACTGTCTTCTCCATTGTATTCAAGACAATTCCCAAACATGAGTTTCACATCTGCAACAAACTCTTCTTTGCCAACATATTTGCCATCACCAAGCTTCTTCTCAATAGTGGACAGGTCCATAGGCCTCTACAATGACATGCAAAAAACTTGGTTTGTTTCAGTAGTTACTTTCACACTGCCTTAGGCATGAAGAATGCATAATCAGTAATAAACACCTCAATGATTTCATTATAATTTGGGGCATAAGATTCATCCACAGGTTCCAGAAACGGCCAGGCATCTTTATGGGCTTTTAGTGCTTCGAGGACTGAAATAAATAAAAACAAATTACAATGCAATACTTTATATTAAGCACTGTGTTTTTTTCTTAAATATACCCTTGTATAAAGAAGTGTAGTCATCATCAATATCATAGCTGCTGCAATGATAAAAAAGCAAATATGTTATAGCTGGATCAAATATCTAGATGGATCAAATACTGTCCATTTCCCAGATCTACTTACAGTTGTTTGTTTCTACGTTTTCTTTGGACGGGGGATGAAGGCTCCAAGTTCAAGAGTTCCGGTGGCAAGTCTTTCCCCTCAGAAAGCAGCCAGGCACGCTCCTCCCGCATCTTCCTTCTCTTTGCACGTTCTATAAAGAAAACCAGAAAATCAGTATTGACCCAAACATTCTTCAGGGGCTTGCATGTGAACTTGTATGAGCATGTATAAAAGGTTGTTTGCTAGCTCATCACTGTAGAAAATGAAAACCAGATCACACTTGTGGAACAGAGACAGACTATAAAACTAGAAGTGGAGCAGCCATTTCATTTCTAAGGGTCACATTGATCAAAAAAGCAGAGCAGGGTAGAAAGGGTGCATATGTACTGCTTTATCTTTGGACATAAAAGGCAGAGGCCTGCCAGCCCCCTGCCGGGTGGATTAAAGATGTTTGAGGGCGGACTCCACATATGAAATGCACACAGTGCGCAGCCCAGGTCCTGCTGTTCATCTATAATACATTAATGAGGCTCCTCCACTGAAGCACAATCAGCAGTTCATTAACCCCTGACAGATGACATCACAGGCGGGGAGAAAAAGCCAAGTGATCCTGTGATTAAAGGCCCCAACATTCTCTTTCACAGTCCACACAGTAAAGCACATAAATCACACAGATCCACTCATGCTAGGCTGGGACACATTTCCCAACTGCTCTGGTCCATTGCAAAAGAAAAGCTTTCCACATTCACAGTGTCATAATGACAGTGACAGTGGATACAACATTGGGGTGCCATTTAACATATACATATATGTACCCTCTGCAGCTTTGATCTTTTCCATCTTTTCTCGTTCTAGTTCTTCTTGAAGAATCCTCTCCTCCTCTCGCCTCTGTTCCGCCAGAAGAACCTGTCTATCAAGATCGTCATCTTTGTTCTCGTCTTCGGCCAAAGTATCCTGTGTGGAAGCACATTTTACATAATTGAATGAAAGAATTGCTGTAGTTGAAGGAATGCCCTGTTTTGATGAGGCCAGCAAGAAAAAGTACTTTAATATAACAGGAGACATGACCCACAGCATGAAGTTTTCAAGAAAAAAAATATCTGTTACAGCCGAGCAGTATGGAGCTGCCCCTTTATTCTTCTTTACTACTAAAGATGCATAAAACAAACATCCTGCATGTAAAGAAACTGATGCATGATGAAGTTGTAACATCCGCCCAGACCCTGCAAACATCAATTGAGAAAATAAGCACATAGGAGAAGTACTAGTCGGGTCGGCTCAATATGTGAACCTCCACATATTGAGCCTAAAATTGCGCTCTTGTGAGCAGCTGGCTTGAGTTGACAACAATACTGAAGCTTTCAAAACTACCTGTAATAAACTACCTTACCCTACTACCCTAAACTACCCTGCTATCACAAATTAAGTTGGGATCCTTGCAAGATCTTTACTACGTAGTGGTCATGGTGTATAGTACATCTGCTCATCTGCTGAATACTTGCCTAAATTGCCATAACTCTAGACACTGGACTGACAAGCACAATACAAACCTCATTGTCATAGTTCACAGATTTGTGAGTGAACTTCTCAGACATTCGAACTGGGTTTGGATTAAGCATCTTCTTTTTTTGTTCCTGCTCCTGAAAGAGAAAAAAATTGTTTGAAATGAAGTGATTGTAGTTATTGTAGCAGTGATCAGCAGCACTAGGTACTGATAGTGCTGCTGATGCTACTCATACCCATAATACTCATATATAGGTGCAAAAATGTAGTGCTGTAATAAATAATTATCTTTATAGTAAAAAAAAATAAAAAATTCAGAAAATGTAAAATGTAATACATAATTGCAAGGAAAACTATATAAAAATATATATATAATAACTATTAATATTGCTTTTAGTAATTCACAAGAATGTGTGAATCTAACTCAAACATGTGTGACCTGAGTGCTAGCTCCTTACATGGTTAATGAATGTAATTGTAATCTGTAGATAAACTATAGTGATGTGATGTCTGACCTTGTGCTCAATCATGCTGCGGATCTCCGGAAGGAAGTTGTGGCTGATGACGCGATGCAGATGGCGATCCCGTGAGGAGCCCTTGTCCTTAAAGCTGTCAGCCAGACTGAGCCACTGCTCCTCTGTGTCACACACAAGAGACCACGCTCCTCGCTTACGGTCGGCTGATGGAAGATTTCAGGGTTACACTTTTATCACTGTTAATGTGACGCCAACTAAGTGAATAGAAATAAACATCTTACTTTTATAAACTGATCTCTCCGGAGGAGAATCCAGTAGATCATAATCAATTCTCTCTTCACTTTCTGAATCACTATAAATTGTTTAAACGTGAATGTAAACATCTTTTGTAAATGCAATATGATGAAAAGTTAAGAATAAATTAATTGTAAACCTTTGCTGCAGTTTGTCAAAGTGTCTCTTCTTTGGCCTCTTTGTCTCTGATGATGTAGAAGTAGATGATGTGGACGCAGATGACGTGGAAGCAGGGCTCTCACTATCCCAAAAACAGTATTAGACTCAAAACAATATTTATAATGACACCTTTTTAAAGTAACAAGGAGCCCATCCATTAAACAGGCTAGTAAAAAGTGTCAGAACACCAACTGTTTAGAAGATGACATACCAAACACAGCAATTACCTGCCGCTCTCACACCTCCTCAGAGGTTCCTCTTTGTACATGCGGGTGCCGTAAAAATACCAGTAGAGGGCTCCATTCGCATCTTGTCCTAGAGGGTCAACCCTCAGACTGTCTGCGTCCAGTCCCTGTTGGAAAGTAAGTAAATGTCATATTTTCTATACATGAATGAACTTTGACTTTCAGATAAGGAATAGTATAGTACCAGGAAATCAAATTAATGCTATGCTGCATTTAGTAATAGGATGGAAAACCAGGAAAAAAACAAACAAACCAATAAACATTTTGTATCTATAAGTACTTCCCTCATAGAAAGAGTTACACTGCTATGTATTGATAGTAATAAATAAATGGGTAAAAACAATTACATCAAATTTCTCATCACTCTCAGTTTGTTCATCATTAAACACCCCTTGAACCCATTGAGGCCAGGAACGCATTCTCGCGTTTCTACCTTTCAAGCCGGGAGCACTGTTGCGCACTTCTACCTTTAAGGCCGTGAAAGCGGACACGTGTTATTTTCTTTTTTTGACCTGTTCTCTTCATTGATCAATTCTCTTGTCTTGACCAATGAAATGCAACACGATAAAACAGGGATGAGAATTATCTGCGGATCCGCGAATTCCGACTTTTTCTTGATCAAAATATAATTTCTGTGACTGCTTGCGTTACGCACTTGAACGGGATTAACATCCTCCGTTTTGACCTCAGGAGCAACTTTGACACAGCTCAGCGAACGCGCTGCCATAACGTGGTAATGTCCAGCGGACCATAGACGCGCGGACAGAATCATACAAGCACGATCAGGACCATCCCCAGCTTTTTGCACATGCAGCTCTTGCCTGTCTCCCTCGTCTCCCCCCCATGTCTCTTCCACGTCTCCCCTAAGTCTCCTCAGCTCAGGTACCTACATTTTCGCTTGCATTGACAATCCATATTATTTGTGCACAAAAATAAAATGTTGTGAACAAATCAAACAGAACAAACCAAAACAGTTGTGTTTTTATTTTTATTTTGCTTAATTAAAGAGCCCTGTGAGTCATTACTTGACTTTTTGGGCTGAGAGTGGATTTTTTATATTTCATTCCTCATAGTTAGTGCCACTTTATTGTCAAACTCTTTTTGACTTATTGTATTTAGAAACATCCATTAGTCTCCCATTTTTTTGGCTGTTTTATTACCTTTCCTGTGTGGAAGTTGTATATTTTTTGTTTTATTCTACTGAAGGTTTATAATAATACATTCCATTCTTATTGACAGCCACAAGACTCAACTCTCGAATTCTTTTGAAATTATGTTTCTATCTGTTAGACGCCGAGATATCACTCACTCTGTAGACGTTGAATTTCAGGAAAACCTCTTGGAGGGTGGTTCTGAAGTCGCCCATAGGTTTTACAGGTCTGTTTTACCAGGTGTGTCAGGCCTTAATGGGTTAAGTAAAAAACTGTTTTCTGTGGTTGAATACTGAGCTACAATCTGAAGCTCAATCGTAATTAAAACCCACTTGCTGTGCTCCTCAAAGCCTGTACCTTGAGTAGGTCGAAAACATCAGCAGCATCCATGCGGTAGTCGCAGAGGCGATGCAGCAGCTCCACCTGAGTGCGAACGGGGAGGTCCTTAAAAGAACTGTGACGGAGGGGGTTGGGCTTCCCTTCCTCTAGCTCCCACCTGTAGCTGATGATGTCATTCAGGTAACTGCTGTATCCATGTGACCTGAGGAGGACACAGAGGACAGACTTTACATTGTAAATTTGAACTACTATATAATATGTATATAGTTAAAATGTGCAATAGTGTGCATCAATACATGGATACATAGTTAGTTACATACATACATATATCTGTGTTATATGTGCATACCAGCCTGTTATATCTGAGCTCTAAGAATCAAAACAAGGTGGAAATGAAAATGTGGGGAGGAAGAAGTGTTTGTATCGTAGTGACCAAACAAATGTTGGTTCCGGTTCAGGTCTTGCTGATTAATCTGTACCATTCAGTTCCAGCCCAGCTGAACAGAACAAGAGCTCAGGACAGGGGCGACCATAGATGGAGCCGTACAAAGAAGAGGGCAGAAAAATTGGCTTATCTTGAAAGAGCAGTGAGCACTTTTCACACAGACAGCTGCAGGCTCCCTCCTTTGCCCCCTCCACTCTGCTCTTTTGCTCCTGTATTCCTCGATGGCGGCCCTCCCTCCTGGGGCCCGCTCCGTCAGAGCGTTTAACGCGTGTGGATGAAAAGGGCAGATCTGTGAGAGGCCAGTGCTGAGCAGCCACCCCCAGGATGCCAGTGCCTGCCCAGTCCAATAAAGCCAGCTGTGCTCCTGTGAGCAACTCGAGCGACACAAGTCTAACTCCAGTACACTACCACAGGATGCTTGTTTTGAGGGTAGTTTATGTGGGGAACAAAAAACACCAAAATGCTTCATCTCAGCCATGTTAAGGTTGGTACTAGCAGTAGCGATGTCATGTACAGACAGTTTTGTGACTCCTCTATGAGCCATGCAATGCCTGACTAACCCCTTATGACTGACTTTGGTGTGACTTTGATCTACAGTGAAAAGTCACAAGGGCGTTTTAAATGTGATTGAACAAACAAGTGGGAGTTAAAAATGCGTTATATTTTCGCATTATGTGTAATTACATACATGTACATATATCCTCCCCAAACAACAGTTAACTACACTAAGTTATTCTTACGTGATGTCACGCCGCTGGTAGCATCCTTGTAGCAAACAAGCAATGAGATCTCCAAGGAAGTCCCCATCCTGCTCTGACAGGGCCTTCTCCAGCTCCTGCACACAGATGTCAGAATCATATAACAAGTTGTTTATTAGTTTGATTAGTGAAGCCGGCATCAACAATAGGTGCCATGCCATCAGAACCACTCCCAATACTTTCATAAACAAAATAATAGTACAACTTTGTTTAAAAGAAACAATTGACAAATACCTTTTTGGTAAAAAAAAAATAAAAGAACACAGAACAGCTTCTGATTTGATAATTCTACTGTGACTCCAGTTACATAGAAAATAAAAGGTCATCAGCGACAAAGCGGCAGAGAATGGCTACACAACATAAGTAAATTACTTATTTAAAAGCCTTTTTAAAAGCAATAAAAAACGAATGTGTAACGGATGTGATGTGATTAAATTTGAGGAAAAAAATACCGTCTGGTATCACATTTAAATTGTTTACTATATGAAAGTAATCACTTTGTTTCTACTCTGTTTAATAATAAAGAGAATCTATTAATCAAATGTGGACATCTGAAAATATGTAATAAATGTTACATACATATTATGTAACTCATAGCTCATTCCAAAGGATCAGGTCCGTGACAAATAAACAGAGCCACTATAGGAAACTCGACTAATGTATGACACAGTTATCTTTTAGCAACTGCTGATGGACTGATTATTAAAATCTATTTTTTGGCCTTCTGTCACACTTTGCTAACCTTTCGTATGAACAAGCCCATATCAGTGGTTAACTTAGGTTCATTGGATTGGCAGGGAGGTAATATGCTAATGTTATTCGAATAAATTTGTAAAAGATAAAATAAATGCCAGCGCTTTTCCTTGAACAAAATAATAAATGCACATTGCTAGTATATGTATTTGGCTATGACATTTTAAAAACACATTATCATAAAAACATAAGACATTTTGTCGACGGGTTTCCTTCTAATTTGAACAGAACGGGCGGAAGACAGAGATACTGTGCACCTGCAACCTTAGTCAGACTTGCTGTGGCCCGCGGTTATTACCGCATGATGGAGATGCATTTTCTTTTTTTTGGTAAAATTATTCAGTATGAGGAATCCTGTGTAATAAGTGATCATTACCCTTTTTTTACCTGACAAACATGAAAGCAACGGGCTATTCAACAGTTGGTTTTATTGTTGCCTAAATTATCACCATCTTTGGCTGCTTACAAAACTCTGCATGTAGGTTAAAAGGCGAGTCATTCTAACACACCAGCACGGATGGATCAGTGTCTAAAAAACAGACTTAATGTGTATGTTTTAGTCTAAATCATTACATGTTAACATTACATTTAAATAAAGATAAGTTTGATGCATACTACATTTACAGAACTCTTGCCGGCGCTTCTGAGCACCAGGGGCCCAGATGCTGCAAAGTCAACGATCATATTAAGATTCCTCTGCCGCTCGCATGTCGACTGTATTTTGACTGAAAGCCGCATCACTGCATGCACCTGAGCAGGTTTGTGCTTTGTGCTAATATATTTAGAAAAAAACTATTCATCATATCAATAGCATGATCAGTAAGAACTTCATCTGGTCAGCGATCATGTTAAGGAAAACAATCTGCTAAAAATATGACTCCACTTGAAGATGCATTGCTGTGCATTTCAGACAGGGGTCAGTGACAGCCAAGATAGGTTCCTCCCCCATGTCATCAGTGCAGCAGCTCACTGCATCCGATAGTTTCCCCAGAAGCACGAGCAGTGGACAACTTTTCCCTACTGGGTGAAATAAAAACGAAAGATACAGAATTCTAGAAAGTACATAACAAGAATGTCAACTTTTCACAATAAGTTTGTACCCACTTCTCCTGAAAACATGATGAATCACCAGTGACGAAAGGCAGAAAAAGGCGAGGCACAAGCAGAAGGTTCAGAGTAGAAAAACAGGATGAGAAGGAAGATTCTGCAAGAGGTCATACACAGCAAACCCTCGTGGTAGGGGAGCCAGTTTAGCCAGTGGTATTGATAGAAATCTACCACAAAAAGGAAGTACAGTATAATAGGTTTAATAATCCAGTTATAATTAGGAGGTACAGACTGTGAAGTTTATAGTTAGCGTTGGATATTTTTCACTTTACTTTTTGATATTACTGTAGTGAAAATGTTTTGGTAATTTTGTATTTATTTATCTATTTGTTGCTCATGACCCAGTATATGGTATGGAGCACAGAGTGAAGAAAAGAAAAGCATTGTTTGTTAAAAGCCTTATGTGTCAAGAGTTAAATGAACCCCAATGCCCTGATGTCACACTGGTCCTCCTATCTGCCTACAAGCACATTGCACTTTGAACAGTGAAGGACGGCCTGGGCCTGTGGACAGAGCCAACAGGGAACAGAATCAGAGGAAAGAGACTTCAAACTTAGCAGGGTTGCACAACTTCTGCACCTCTGAAGAAATTACAGTTGGAAAATAGAGCTCTATACTGTTCATGTCCTTTCTACTTGTGATTATGCTGTATATAGAGTTATAAATCAGATGTATCCTTGGTGCTTTAGTGAAATTTCAAAATAATGTTTGGGCCGCTTTCATTAATGATCAATTTTCCAAACTGATAAGGGAAGTAGGTAAAGTGATACGCCCCAGACTATTGCATATAAATCAGAGTTGATTGTCACATTTACCAGGGCTGCACAATTAAGTCTGCATTTCTAAAAGAAAGACAAGGACATGACAGGATGAAGCGAGGCGTAGTGGGACAGTCATGGTCAGTGAAGCAGCCTTGAGGGGTCTCATGTGCCCACTACACTGCCCTCCATCAGATACCCCCCTTTTGGCAAACGTTCCTTCCAAAATGCAACATATTGTACAAGGGTGAAGTATAGTTCTCCAAGTAGGTTCGAGCTGATGCAGGCCTCAATGCTATTGTGACATTACATTTTTCCAACAACTGATAAACATAAGACTGGCTCTGCAGATATTACAAGAACATGACAAGTCGCTACCAGGGACCGAGCAGGACAGAACAGAAAATGTTCAACAATGACAACATATTTGAACCACAAGCTGGTGGACAGTACACTGGAAATGACACGTTTACTATTATCTTTAAAGACAGAGTGTGCAGAGCAGTTGTCCACTGGAATAAGGAAGAGGCAGATAAAAGACTTCAGCTGTGTTAAAGGTTGTGATGTATGCAGCAAGTGTGGGGACTTCCTCTGGGCACACTTCCATCGCTCTCCAGGCGCTAACAGCTCCTGTGGGCTTCATCACAGCAGCAGTTGGCGGGGGAGGGGGTCACTGTTTGTTGTGTAAAAGCTCTTCTTTATTTCTCACTCCCCGCCCCCACTTTGATCTCACACATGGTTCTTCCAGGAGCCATCATCTGACAAAAGTCTGCTTCCATCACATGACAAACCACAGGAAAGGGTTTGTGTCTTGGTCTGTACACTCTAAATGGCCAGCTCTAGTAATAATAATAATAATGCAATGGTCTGTATGTGATGGTGGTATACTACTACAAGACACAGCTGCCCTGGGGCAGACTGATAGAAACAAGGCAACTAATTGGGGCCATCGGCTCCTCCGACCACCACCAATCATTCCCTCTCACACACAGACCAGACAGTAGCAAATAATGGATGACCTCCAGTCATGGCTAAGGGGCTGAATAGTTGGGAGCCCACACCTGCCCTAAACACAAGCCGACACAGATCAGCAGTTTGCGCCTGCAGGCACAGACGCCATTTGCTTAGTAGAGTTTAACAGGAAGAAGCAGCCTAGCCCTAAATGAATGAAAACTGGTCCAGTTCAGTCAGAAAACTGGTGGACAAATTCGACACACTGATTAAGAGTCTGAGCTATTTTTAAAAAAACAGTCAGCCTCTCTCCTGCCTCAACTTATCTGAACCACAGACTGTAAAAGACTCAGAAATAGGAAGCTCTATTCTGCACATTTTACTCCACATGCCTTCACCTGATATTTTTTTCCCATTCTTTAAAGTTAAATAAATTAGCAAATGACTCAATTAAAAAAAAATTCTGGTCTGTGAAACGAGGTATATAAATAAATATTACTTACAACTACTGCCTCTGGTTTTAATCAACGTTCCCAAATGTTTTAGATGATATTGTTGGTGCAGTTCTATTTACATAAACTGATTATGCTTGTGTCCCATTGACGCACAAATACGTCAAAGCAAATAGAAAGGTCGTGTGCCATTGACGCATTAATCCGTCAATTGCCTTTTTCGCTATTTTCACGTTCCCAGATGTCTATTGTATCTAATATGTATGGGGATGACTTGAGACCATATTTTATCGAGCCAGCAGGTGGCAGCATTGCTCTCTGAATGGTTTGAAAACATGTAGGTGCACATGTTGTGCCTCTTTTTTCTCAGCTTTCTGGTGATTTCTGGTGATTTCAGTAAAACTTCCCTCTACTCAACAAAGGATTACAGGGGAACGAAAAAAGCTATAAACAAAATTCTTTTTGCTGAGGAAAGTAGACAGTCCATTCTTTTAGAATCTGGTGTCGGATTTCAGATAGTCATAGTACACAATATTCTGTGGGTCTTGAAAAATCAGTAAAAATCATCAGAAATGGCTGGCACTGTGGGAGTACCTGTTCTGAAATAGGCTGGCATTCAATGAGTTAATACATAAAGTAAAAAAGAATGTAACATTCATAACTATTTGAATGGTCTTGTTTGATTCAGTGTTAGACACAATTGGAAACCAAAAAGAGGGAGCCACGGGGAGCCACAACAATGAGCGGGTGCCCTCACCCCTTTTGATGAAACCATCTGATGCCATCACTTCTTCCACTGTCAATCACATAAGGGGGAGGGGGCAATTCTCTTACAAAGCACCTTCCAACTCTTCAATGTTGGGAACATGGATATTACAAGTGACATACAACAGTTGTTGAATTTCAATTCCAAAGAAACATGGAACATGCATGTCAGAAAAAACGTTTTAGATTTGCATTTTCCATCCGTCTCCAAAATGTAAAGGAAAAGTGAACCCATTCAAAACAGGAAGTTGAGGTGATGATGACACATGCTTCCAAAAATGACTGCTGTGA